TAGTCTTGTCTGGCTGCCTCATCGTTTTCCTCAGGTACGGACCGCCCTTTTCCCGTCCGCTTTTTTCCTTTCTCTCTCCTCTCCCGTCATTTTTGTCTCTTAACTTTTCAAATCCCCCGTTTCGGCCCCGCTTTTAATAATCCCACCCTCTTTCTTTTCCCCTCATGAATATCTTTAGCATGCAGTCTTTTCGTTGATTCGGCCTCCAAACAATTTGACTGTGTTCTTGTCCGTATTTGTCCTGCTCCCCGTCGTTGCCATTTTCTTTTCTTTTCCTTTTTTTTTTTGGGTTCTGTTGGTTTCGTTACATGACATTTCGATCTCCAAAAATCTAAGTATGCGTAATTAAATCTAATTGTTTCTGTCCCTCCAAAGTATAATATAGATGCATGAAGCTTCTATATGTGTTCATAAGGATCCTCTCATAATTTATCGAAAGAAATAGGGCAAAAGCACGCATCGTTTATCTCCTTTCTTTTGACAAGGAAAAGTTGTTCCACGACCGATAGATGTAGTTTTTTTTTTTTTTTTGGCCTGAAGATAGATTAGTTAAAATTTAGTTCTTTTGACATTTTAATTATTATCATACATACACCCGATGATTGAAATTATTTTTTTTTATTTTATATTTTAAACCCTTTAAAATTAAATCAAAATTATAATTTTACATTCTATTTCATTTTTCAACAAAATTATAATTATTTCCTTCATATTTTAATATATATTATAAAATTATGTACTTTAATTTAAATTTTTCCTATGTTACAGAAAAATCCATCCTCAGGCAAGTGATTTTTTTGGTTCAATAATTAAGTCGAAGGTTATATATCAATAATTACTTGAGAACTCCTTTTATAAAAAGTCAATATATATTGATTGTTTGTTTATTTATGGAAACAATTACCGTTGAATGTATTTTGTGAGAGAAACACTTGTATGCTTAAATAAATAATTCTATATACTGAAAATGATTATTTTCAATTAAACCGCCTGACGGAAGTATACAATTTAATTGTGACGGGGCTTACAGGAAATCGGATGGAAAAGCTGGAATAAATATTGTGATTCTTGATGGTTGGAGGCTGAACGTGAAGGAGCTTGTTGATTGTTTTTTAGCTTTTGTTCGCTTTACAATGGAAAAGCATTCTAAAATATAACATAACGTTTTGTTAAATAAATACATAAATTACTACAAAATTTAAAAAAATCATAAAATTTACTTACCCCCACTCAACAGTTCATATAATTTACGCACACTTTAAAAATAAAATAAATTTATTTATATAAATATAATTCCAGTATGTTTAAGAAGCTGGATAAAAAATTTGCCCAACAAGGGGGGAAAAAAAAGGCTGCATAAGAAATGGGGGTAAGAAGGGGACTTGGATTTTTCCGTGCCTAATGCCTTCTCCTTTCGCATTAAGATAAATTATGACACTTGGGTTCAACCCGTCTGTGTCTAATGCCTGTGCGACAGAACAAAGTGAAAAAAGCTTGCTTTCCTTAACCATGATGATTCTAACTAAAGCCCCCGTAACAATATCCCCAAAATTAGTACCTATTAAATTGCTTATTTTGCATTAAGATAAATTATGACATTGGACATTTTAGAAAATATATAAGCCATAAAAGTCATGGTTGATTTTATAGAATTTTAATTAATTGGAGAGATTTATTCAAGGTAGAAAATTAAAAGATCAACCATGCTTTCTCTTTTCCACTTATAAAATAAATAGGATAGATGTCAAATTAAATTAAAGTTAGTGGATGTATGATATTAAAAGTTAGTTCTCATGGAAGTTTTATTAAGTAGCATTAACTTGGATTAGGGGTCATGAAATAATTAGGATTAGAAGGGAGAGAAATGGGTTTAGGTGGCAGCATTTGTTGTTTGAGAATTCATTTTCAGTTGAGAAAAATAAATCAATACCACCGTTTCCCATTTTCTCAATTTTCCACCTATATATACCCCATTAGTCTTATGCTCTTTCATTTCTTTTCTTTCCTGCTGCAATCAAAACCGAGAGAGTGAGAGAGGCGGGAAGAGTTGAGGAGATCACGGGAGGAAGAAAAGAAGATAGCCAAAGAGTAAGTGATCCACGATAACGAGGATGAAGAAAGATTATCAAGCTAGAGAATCTAAGGTAGCAAAACTTACATTTACTTTGGTTATGAATTTGGTTTTGCTTCTGTATGATAACTTGATGCTAATGGATGCTGTATGTATGAAAATGAGAGCTTTTAAATGCTGAAACTTGAGTACATGTTTGAATATGATTTCTGAATAAAATATCTCTCAGAGGAGGGTTGAATATTTCACCCCTTGTTTTAGTTATCTGCCGGATAGTTATGGAACAAATGAAGCAATCAACACCTGGATGTGCTTCTCACATGTTGCATGGAAGGTATGTTTCCTTGCATCTTAATTTCTACTTTTAAACTTTGCAACAGGTGTACATATATTCTAGTGGTAGTAGGTTGGCCAAAGGCTAATATTTGGAAATACAAAATATGGGGACCTGAGAAAATACTTATGTGGGTTTTTTGACACCAAAGTGGGGTAATGTTTTCTTGATACTGCGTCTTGACAGTTCTGGTCTTAACTCTTATGTCAGCCATCTTCATGCAGAACTCTTTGTTTTGCAGTAACAAAAGAGAGACATCTACATTGAAATTTTCGAGCCACTTGATGTTGATAAACCATCAAATATTTTGTTTTCGACTGATGTTTCTCAAGAAGCTGCAGCTGCAAAGTCTGCCGGTTTGTGTTTTTCTATTTAGTACTTCAATTTATTTATATATTGATAAATAGATATGATTGATGCTTTTGGAACTATTAGATTTCTTCTCCGAGCTATTGCTCCTATCAATGCACAGTTTCTTATATTGTAGCATCTGAAGTTCTGAATGACTGACTATGGTAAAGTGCCTTGAAAGCCAATTCACACAGAATTTTCCGCAAGCTAGCTTTCCTCTTCAGACTTCTCTTCTGAATAATTCCTTTCTTCAGGTGGCTAATCAATGTGCAAAGATCCCGAAAAATTTAAACGGCCAGTGTTTTTGTTTAGATGTGAATAAAAACATTATGAAGTATAGTAACTTCGATCTTGATTGAGAAAACATCAAATAAATAAACATCTATCTAAGTATGTCGAGCTCACTTTTAGTACGCAGTTTGAATATGATTATATTTGTCTATCTTTTTACAAACCGTTCTACCTCGAGTATCTGGAAACAAAAATAGGAAATTCACACACAAACACAAACATCCATTTGTGTGTATGTTTCAATCTCATCTAAGAAATACATGCTTTTGCAGCCCCATGGTTATATATATGGCCAAGTAAGGACTGTTCATTTCATTATTTTCTGCACATGAATTGGTTTGTGTCCATGTTTCAGGATTGGAAGTGATGATTTCTATTAGACCTGGAAACGGACCTCTTCCGGAAAATCATGGGTTCAGGACAATCAATTCCTTCTTGGAGATATGAGAATGAGAGTAGTAGTTAAAGTGATTGTCTAAAGATGTTAAATGTGCAGCAACAACTATGGATGTATACTCCATAACGTCCACTTCAGAGACTGACATCTTTTTAATTCTAACATTTCAGTTGTTTTTCCTTGTGTCTCTCCATCTTTAAATTCTAACATTGCAGTTTAGTGAGTAAAGTTTACAGTTTTAAACTGTGTTTTTAATGGTGGGATTTGTTCAGATCACTTGACCCAAGCCAATAATAAATGATTAAACTGTTCATTACTTTTTTCTTTAATTTAAATCCTTCACTCTACCGATACATGCAAGTGACAATTGCATTGTTCATAAATGCATGAATTGTAAGCTTTCAGTCTTGTGGCCTCAGATTTAGTTAGCCTTAAAGGTTAGTTAAGATGTTATGATAATTTTTTTAAATTGGCGGTGACAAGATGATGTGAATTTTAATATTGCAAGTTTAGTAGAATTTTCGGTTGGAGTCACAAGCCGGCTAGTTATACTTATTTAGAGTGGGTATTTTTGACTCTTGACCATACTTGAATGATGACAAGGCATTTGAAGTTGGTCTTAAGTTATCTTCGTTCACTAACCATTGGTTATTCCACTAACCATGCTTGAATAATATATATATATATATATATATTATATATTAATTATATTTATATACTCTCTCTCCCTCTCCCTCTCCCTCTCTACACACAAGCATATAAAGGGGAAAAAATCTATTTCTTAATTTCACAGTACATATTCAAGTATTATGATATAAATATAATAAAGTTTAATGATTAAAGTGCAGGAAGGCATTGTAGGAAAAAATAAAAGATGAATTAAAGCATATATTTTAAAAATAGAAATCAATTACAGTGATCTATATTTTTGTTGCCAGAAGCATAATAATCTTGATTTATATCTATACACTATTTCTATATATAAAGTTACAATTATTATAATTCATATTATCTATATGTCATTTACAATGCCATTTATTTCATATGTAATCTTAAACACTGGAACATTTTCAGTATAGTTTAAAATCAAACAATTTAAAAGCATTCTAATATATAGCATAACGTTTCGTTTCAAAAAGTCATAAATTCTTACAAAATTAAACAAATTCATATAATTTACTAACACTTAAAAATAAATTAAATTTATTTATATAATACTAGTATGTTTAAGCTAGATAAAAAGCTTCGCGAAAAAAAAAAATGCTTCATAAGAAATGAGGGAAAGAAAGGGACTTGGTGGTCATTTTATGATGTACCAAACAGCTGGGTCCACCCTATGTTCCTATGTTGCAAAACCCAAACAAAAAGTGTTCATATTTCCCCTGCTTTTCAAATTTCTTTCGTCTGCTTTCCTTAACCATAAGGATTCTAACAAAAGCCCCACTTTTTCTTTCTTTATTTTTAGCATTTCCTCCATTTGTCAATGTTGCTTGACTCCACTATCAATGATGAAAGTGATATTAATAATTAATAATTAATAACCACAAAACAAGAGATAAACAACAACAATGACTGCATAAGCATCATAATTTTAAATTATGAACCATAATTACATTAGCCACCTCTACACGGTTGATCCCAAAACTTTGCTCCCATGTCCATGCTATTCTATAATTGCAATTTAAAATTATAATGACTTCAAATTGATACAGACAAGACAAATCTATCTGACCTGGTCTTGCTTCCAATAATTCCAATAAGAGTCAAAACGAAAGACGAAGAAACAAAACTGATATCTTGGACTGTACTCTCAAGAGAATGCTCGTCCTTGAGAAGAAAAGTCCATCTTCCTCTTCTTCTTCTTCTTCTATGCATCGAATCGATCTCTGTCTAACCTCCTCTTCATCAAACAGATATATGACACATACAAACAACCTACTAGACTCTCCGAATTTGGATTTATTTCATAGCTATATTATGAGACAAGGCACGTGGTACCGTCAGAAAAAATATGTGCAGTAATCTAGGACAATTCGAAATGTTATCGTGCTTCATTGTTTGCTTCCTTTGCAGTCAAAAGATGATGTCTCGAGGAAGAAGACAAGAAAAGCAGGGGAATCAACGAAGAAGAAGGAGAGAGCTTTGGCATTTCATGGAAGAAAGAAACTCGAATTATACCGTCATGTTTGGCACCTTGTGGAAGAAAGCAAGTCAGAAACCTCGCGAATCATTCTGTAAATCAGTAAACAAACAAGAGGGGGGAAAACAATCATAGGTTCAAGAAGGAGACTCCGACTCAGAGACTCTGGGCGACGTCACCGGAAACAGAGGCAGAAGCGGCGGCTCGGAGTCTCTAGGAGTGGTCAACGGCGAGGGGTGCAAATAAAACCCCTTCTCGGCGATGGCCCTCTCCTCCTCCTCCGACGAAGACAGCGAGGCGGAGGTTAAGAGCGGCGAGGACGACGACTTGTCAAAGGGGTCGGAGCCGTCGTCATCGTTCAAGGGCGTGACAGGGCTGAGAGAGAGGGAAGGAAAATCGAGCAAGCTGGGAGAGAGAATGTCTGGCTTGCGAGACGAAAACCCAGAATTGGGAGGGAAACTGGGAGCGAAGGTGTTGATGGTGAGAGAGTTCTTGAGGTTCTTGAAGCCCTGTTTCTTGGGCGTGGTCTTCACTGGCGGGATAGGGAAGGTCTTGGACGGCGGAGGAGGAGGAGGAAGGGAATCGGAGGAGCCGGTGAGCATCTGAACGACGTGCTTGAAGGAGGAAGTATCGGCATGGACGAAAGTGGTGGGGTAAGGATTGGAATCAGATCTAGGGATGCTTCTGGGAGACTGTATGGGAGAAGGATTCTGGGGCTCGCGAGGTTTTGAGCTGATTTCCATGGATAGAGAGAGTGAGAGAGAACAGAGAGGCAGAGCAGGGAGTGAAAGAAAAGGTTTCAGCGAAACAAGAGGCAGAGAGGGTTGCTTATTTGCCCCCGTTTTGTTTCTTAGTGCTCTCCCTTTCTTTATACTCTTCTCCTCTGTTTCTTTATTATTATTATTATTATTATTTATTTTTGTTTTTTTTTTGAAGGAGGACTATCTCTTCCAATAACAAAACCTAATATTTTGTAAATCAAAATCTTAACCAAAATTATTTCATCTTTCAAGCCTCCTAAATATAAGTCAAGTCTATCATTAGATTAATTTAAATCATTGTTCTTATAATTGAACCAAACCATTTAGTTTAATCAATTGATGCAGAAATTGGCCCATTGTTCAATTTAGATGCAAGGAAAAACGGTGAGCCAAAGAATTGGTTGAATTGGTTAAAACTGGTGGTTAGACACGCAACACATTTTTTTTTAATTTTTTTTAAAGTTAATCCATGTTTCTAAACAGTATAATTTATGCATTTCCACATCAAAGAAGTATGAGGAAGGAAGAAAAATGAGCAAATATAAAGGAAATATTTACGCTTGTATTCTAAAATAATGGAGAATTAATGGATATTATTTTTTTGCTATATATTTATTTTTTATTTAAATGTTTCTTTTATTATTATGGATGGCTATTTCTTTTCATTTTAAGCATATATGATCTAAAATACGTTAATTTATTCTATATCATCAATATTAGATATTATCCATATTAAGGTATTAAATGCAAATAATATACTTTTCTTAATTAAGTTGTTATATACACAGTAAAATGAAGGTCGATATTCAGATTCCCACTACTTGTCTAAGTACGAGAGCTTCTGCCACTAACACTAACTTTAATTGATTAATTAACTACCTATTTTCCTCTTTGGTTGCGAGAGGGAAAAAAAACAGAGAATGGTAATCAAGAAACACATATGCTCGAAAATTCTGTCGTAGCTGAGCCTTAATTTTATCTGCGATACTATAAAAAACTTTTTTTGTAGATGAGTCTTAATTTTATCTGTGATATTATTTATAAAACTCAGTTTAAAATATTTTATGACCTTATAAATACTTTATTCGTTAAAAAATATAATGTATTTTTTAAAAATTTAGATGCTAAAAATATAAAATATTTTTAATGTTTCAAGATATAATTATTGTGCATTTTATTAAAAGTGTTCCTAATAAAAAAACTACTTTATATTTACTTTAAAATAAAATATCATATTAAATAATGATAAATATAAAAAATTGCATTAGTTTAAAAAAAACTAATTACTTTATTGATGATATACTTTGATAAAAATATCTTATATTTTTTACAGTAACACATAAAATAGTATTTTAAGATCCCATGTAAGCACACATGAATGTCTACCAATTTAAAAAGTTAAATAATATTAAGGATTGATGTATCAAAAGAAAAGTATTAAGGATTGATAGGTTTACCGAGTCAATAAACTTGTTAGGTTTTTTTTTCTTGTGATTTTATTTAGGAAAAATTAATTTTTTAATTTTTTTAATTTTTAATTCACTTATAACTCAATCTCTCAATTATGACTCACTGTAACTCAGTCCCTCAACTGTGACTCACCTATAACTCAATCCCTCAACTTTTGAATCACTTACAAATCAGTCCCTAAACTTTTATTAATTTTTTTTCATGTTAGCTTATATCTCACATCAATGAGCAAGAGATGAGTATTTTAGAATAATATATGAGCATTTTTTATCCCTCTTATTTGATAAGAATTTTTAAAAAAAATAAAAAAATAAAGACCGAATTATAGGTGAATCAAAAGTTGAAGAATTGAGTCATAGCGAGTTATAGTTAAGGGACTGAGTTATAATGAATTATAATTAAAAGATTGAGTTACAAGTGAGTTAAAAGTTGAAAGATTAAAAAATTTATTTTTTCTTTTATTTATATTCAATGATATGATAAAGCTGCAAATTCTAATTCTCATATTATTTGACTTTAGAGTTGAGAGAGTATTTGTTTGATTGGATTGGAGACGACACATTCTTACATTAACATTTCTATTAATAGGAACTTAATTATTTGACTGTGCACTTTCAAAGGCGCGTGTAATGCACCCACCAATTATATGACGGCCCAACTCTGTCTCTCCAGCCCTACCTCACCAAGTTCACAACATGACAAACATACTGCTTCAAAGGTGTCAAGATCATCCTACCCAAAAAAAAAAAAATGAAAAATAAATATCAATATCAAATCAAAATTGCAATTTTTTTTGTTAAATTATTTTCCTATTAAAAAATTAAATTTTTTTATCTTAAAAAATAATATATCTTAAATAAATAATATATAATCATAAAAATGAACGGTCTAAGTATTGCTCAAACAAACTAAACTCGGTTTCACTTACTATCATCCAAATGGCCTCCCGTTCTTTTTTAATTATATTCGTTTTATGGTAAAAAAAATACACGTTTAAGTTATAATATTTTTTACCCAAAAAATGTTAAACTATCTTTTTAGTAAACATATTATATTAATCAAGTACATATTGATATTTTATCATTAAAATAATAAACGTAAAGATATTTTAATTAAAATATATACCATTATTATCATCACATTTATGCTTGAAATATATACAACGATCACATATTGCCGGCGGGGCTTTCTAAGTGAAACGGACCGTATTCTTTCCTATAAATTTTCAAAATTGTCCCTAAGAATTAAAAACTATGTTTTTTTTAAATATAGTGAATAAAAGGAAAACATTATCAACACCACACATTAGCACCAATTGATATGTCATTAAATAAATTAAATCTTATTGATAATTATAATTGATCAATTTGTGTCTTATAATAGTGCAAATGAATCAGTTCGTCTCAAAAGACGAAAGTGCAGAAACAGAACCTTATGGGATTCAAAGTTGCATTCTCACTATCTATTATATATATGCCATTTCATATCCACTGTCCATTGTAGTTTCACATTTCTTTCACAATCTTTTAATAATATTTCGAAAAGTAATAAATAAAAGGGTATCCAGTTCTTATTACTTTAAGAAACGTTCGCATCCATATCATTTTTATGGGAAATTTTATGTATTGCTAATATATTAAATCATCCATTATATATGAATTCAATTCAATATTTAAGAGACGTTTGTAGGTTTTTGATGTTGGATGATCTTGCTTTATTTTATATATAATAATATGATATTTTATTTATAAAAAAGCTTTTGAAAATAAGATCTTAAGGCTGTTTTTTTTTTCAGTCAAACGATCTTAAGGCTTTTATAATATATAGAAGTAAAAGTAAATGGTTAGTACTTAGTATTTCAGTTTCGTCATTGATGCTTCAATATTTAGTTTAATGCCACAATTTAAAATGGATAATTGAGTAAATTGGTACCTAAACTATATATAAATTTAGGAGTGAATGAAATTATAAATTTATTTTTTATACAATGTTATTTTTTAACTTTTAAAAATGATTCATCAATAAAAGTTAATTTTGACTGTTGCTTAATCAGAAATGAACAAAATATAACAAAAAGGGACTAAGAAAATTTTATTAATAATTTTCTGAAATTTCTAAGATCCTTCTCTAATCAACTAATAGTCAAAGTTAACTTTTATTAACAATTGAGGCTAGATTGTATTATTTTTAAAAGTTAAAGAAAAAATTGCATAAAAAATGAGTTTAGAATCTCAAACACTCTTAAACATGTAATTTAATGGTCAATTTGCTCCTTTAACAATTTAAAATCATAACTTCCATGATTAGATCAAATAGATAATTAAATGAATAAAAAATACTGTGTATGGAGAGATGTAGTGAGAGAAATATATCATAGTTATTATAATTAGATTGGAGATAGCGAAGAGGTGAAAATAACAAGAAATTGATGAATCGCTTAATTATCCAATCGTAGTGAATTAAAAATTAAATAAATTGAACCAATCACGAGAAGTTCCACCTATCTCGACAAGTCATGGCCAATGTTTATGGTCACTAGACATTTCATGTTAAACCAGTTACATTGATGCAAACCCTAAACCTATGCTTAGAAAATATCAGAGTGTAGAGAGAGAGAGAGATGATGAGTTGGTGTAGCAAATTCATTGGTATGTAAACAATCATGAGTTTTCATTTCTTTTCTTTTGGATGAAGAAAGATGCGCGTAGTCTAAATAACGTTGATTAGTTCATAAGAATTCCAATATCACAAGTTATGAACAATGTGACTTACTTCAAATTCAAATTTAAATTTAAACCCCCATGCAAAATGCATATATGTAAAATAAAAGGCATATATTCTCGACGTCCTTTTTTTATAATCTTCTAGAGAATAATATTTTGAATGAGATAGTCTCTCTTTAATCATTGTACATACAATATAGAATGAGACTCTAGCTTTAATCTTTTCAAACAAAACAAGTTATAAAGAGTGAACGGAAAAATACGATGCCGAACGTGACTATGAAGTGGGAAATGAGTAGGCCTTGAAGAATACTTGAGAAGCCAAGATATTAATTAATATTAATTAATAATAATATGAACACGACGGCAATTCCTATGCGATATGTCTTCAAGTCTCGATTCCTCTCTCTCTCTCAATATATACATATTAATCTCGGGAAAAAGACTTTTCTTTTATTTAATTATCCTTTTGATCTTGTTGGACGACACAGGTGATTGGAAGCAGTAACACGTTAATCATTGATATTATGTTAAAATAATGAACCCTTTGACACTGTACTCTTCATATGTGGTTAAAAACTTAAAATAGGATCTTCAAGACAATATTGTATCAAACTATAGTTTGAATTAAGATAGTTGTATATACCACTTATATATTATCCAGCGGCGTGCTTGGTTTGGATAGTTAAAAGAGTCAAATTAACTTATCTTAAAGTATTGAATTTGAGTCCTAGAACATGTAACTATATTAAATAAAAAATCGAAAACGTCTCTGATATACCCATAAGACCATCAATGGCAAAAATAGTTCCACACAACAGGGTTCTGGGTTAGTTTAAGTAGATCGTAGTAATAATCACAGGCTTCTCAAGATTTTGGATGATGGAATAAA